ATTTGTATCATCTTCCATGACTTCTCAAAAATTCCCTTAGCATGAGGTTTCACAGGAAAGAGCCTCGCTACTCCTAGGGGTAAAGGTATGCTCAAATTTCATTTCACCTTCCCAAGACCATACTTGCGTCTACGTTAAATTGAGTATGTTTGTTTGGTTATCTATATTTGTTAATTTCTTTTAACATTCTCATCATCGATAATTTGTTCACTTAACTGAAAATGAGAATTCAAAATGGGATGAAGCAAAATCTTCATGTGCAAATCTAGAACCCCTTCACTTAAACTTATTTTAGTCCTGGACTTAACAAAACTAAAACAGCACCAAATGGTACTAAAATACACAAAATATTCAACCTCACTAGACTAAAACAAACTAGAAGAGATGAAAACACAAGTTTAGACCAGACCAGGCATCCAGGCCAGTTCAGCAAGGTATATTCAATGCAAATGAACAGTCCTATAGTATGAAGTACCTGTGGAAGTATAAAAGATTAATCTAAGATAATTACCTCAAGGGGATCACTTTCACCCTCCAAATCAACCATCACAGGAGCATTCATGCTGATCTGAAGAGCTCGAGTACCCAAAATTCTTGCTCTTTCATATTTTGTCATGTACTTTGATGTTTTCCTAGGCCTCTCCACAGCAACCTCTTCAGGTTTGTCTTCACCCTCACCTATTATGGCATCAGGTAGGTCCTCATTATTGGCATCCTCCTCTGCCTCAATTCCTTCCTGTAAAAAACTCACAATGATACAAAACTTTAAAAACTGAGACTAGTTCATGATATTATTACGCAAAAGAAAACAAAATTTGCAGTGCCCAAAATCAGGTTACCTCAATCTCAGGCTCAACTGGCTCATCCTCATATCTGAAACACATGCATTGACAATTCATAAGTACTAAGTACCACAAAGGTATCATAAATCCTTGAAGAAGCAAAATGTTGAAAAAATGAAACAACTAAACAAAAAGTAATGGACATGCATATCAAGCAAAGTAACTACAACTCATATAAAGAGCCTAAGCAACGGTCCATAAATATATACATATTTCAGTGCTTACTATTGAGCGAGGTTAGTAAATCTCGGGTATAAGCCCACTATATATACTACATTAATCCAGGGAAGCAACATCATTACTGAAAATTTTAAAAGCAGCAATGCTTACGAAAAATTTCCAATTTCTCTCCTTCAGGCTTCAGCTAGGATTTTCACATTAACAGTTGTTATTTCTAAGAGGTAAACCTAAGGACAGCATACATCTCATCCTCCCTATGCCTCCCAGCCCCTACTTCCGGGTGTGAAGTATTGCCTGTACATAGCTTGATTTTATTTAAATCCATGGAGCTCACATCAGACTAAAGTAGAATCAATAATTGTTTCCGGAGGGTATGGAATTAGGAAATTTATTTATTTATTTATATATATATATATAACCCTAACATTCAGAAACAGTTAGAGAGTAGCCACTAATGAAGAAACCCTTAAAATAGTGGTAACAAAGAAAGGAATCGAACTGATGAGTACCCTCCATCCATCTCATAGTCCTCGTCCGCCATTCTTGTTTCTCCCGACCGCCAAAGGTGAACTCAGTCAGGACCCTGTGCAAGAACAAAATTTGGGTCTTCCTTTCTAACACAAATAGAAATAAAACATTAATAAAAATGATAATAGTAACAAATACTGATGAACTTGTGTTAAATTACAAGCTCATAAAGAAAATAATAATAAAAACCAAAGTCTTCATTAACTAAAAACTTCCAAAGTGTTTCTGAATAGAATTGCTATGTTACACAGGCAAAACAGTGTCATCAATTATAGAAATATCAGAAACAGCATATACTAAACAATACACATCCTTGCAACGTTTTTTAGTTATATTTCCCATCAAATGCTTCGAACCAACAAACTTCACCTCATATGGATGTCAGGCAAACTAAAAATTCCGCAAAGCCATCCCCACTCAGGCACTGAAGCTCTTCCAACTTTTTTATTTTTAACTAACAACTTAACATGTATAAACATATTTATAGCAATTTGTTAAATATGAAAGATTAATTAAAATCACTAAATCAATCGCTCAATCACAATATCACATATTCACATATATTACATAACAAATTAATAATGAAACCTGGAGGCTGCAGAGGCTGAGAAAGTGAGATGCGTAGGGGCGGTAGAGCGGTAGAGCCTATTGGCGGAGGGACGTAGGCCGGTGGCGGAATGGCGGTCGCGGAAGGACGCTGCGTCGCTGACTCCCTGCCCGTCTGTCTGCTCGCTTGAGTCCTTCAGTAGCCTGCTACACTGCTCGTACGCGACTACGCTTCTCCCAAATCCCAATGAACACCCTTATTTTTCATCCGTTTACTTCACATTACAAAGAGGTGTTTATTAAGACTCATGTTTTACTTCAATGCATTTAAAATATCTTTTAACATTAAAATGTCCAAAATACGTGGGACACCTCATATCCTTAACCCTAGCTCATACCGCCCATAGCCCTACACATACATGTACCTGCCCTACCCCTAATTCCAATACCCTGCCCCTTAACCCTACCCCTACCATGACCTTACCTCTACCTCTACTCCCCTACCACCCTGTGTACCCCACACCAACCCCTACCCCAACACCCTACCCCAAACTCGTACCCCTACCGCCACCCATTAACATGTACCCTTAGGGTCGGGGAAAGGGGATAGGGTACGGGGGTAGGAGTAGTGTAGTGTGTAGGGGGTATGACCGTGGGTAGGGGTAGGGTTGTGATAGGAGATAGGGTATGCAAGGTTAAGGGGTTACAGGTTAGGGTGGGTAGGGGTAGGGGTATGGGGGTCGGGATATGGTCAAGGTAGGGGCAGGGGTGTAAGGGGTACGGGGGACGGGTAGGGGCGGGGCTGAGATAAGGGGTATATCAGTGGGGTAGAGTGGTAAGGGTTAGGGATTAGGGGTAAAGGCTAAGGGTGGGAGTAGGGTGCGGGTAGGTGGTGGGGTGGTAGGGTACGCGTAGGGGTAGGGGTAGGGGTAGGGGTAGGGTTGGGGTAGGAGGTAAGGTAGGGTAACAACAAGGGGTAAGGGTAAGGATAAATTCGGAAATTTCAAAAAGTTAAAGTGCCGCTTAATTAATACATAGGGGGTGGTATGCTTAGTAAGCGGCACTTTGAGCACCTCTTTCGGTTAATGAGCAGCTTTTTAAGCAACTTGCGGGTTTAATTTATCCTTTCTGTTAACATAATTATGACTTTAGCAGCGAAGTAAACACGCCCTAAGTAATATTCAGAAACCTTCGTTAACTTACCTTTTTTGAATGTCCCACTAACTTTGTCAATTTTCTTTTTAAATAAAGAATTTGTGGTTCCAGTTAATTCTGTATCCTTTACATAAATCTCAACCACATAGTTTTTGCTTTATTAATCCTCGTGACAGTCAAACTTGGCAAAATTTTTAGGGACAGAGGAAATAGTAGTAATACTACTAGTAATTATTTATGGTGCCTTCGAAATTTTTGGGCCTTGTGCATTGGGTTGCCAACCCTCCCCTGGGTCGGCCCTGTTACTCAGTCTTCAGCTGAATCCACGACCCACGACACAGAAGAATAAAAGGTATCCCGTAAATGGTAATTACTTTGTAATACTATATATTATAACTAGAGTAGTAAACATAGCCAAAAAACTAGACTAGTAGACTCTTATGGCCCTATGGGCCGACGAGGCAACGATCCAATATACTATGAAGTGCTCTGTAATATTAAGTTATTATTAGGAAAGTGCCGTTTGTACACGCTTTTTGTACACATCAGTCTAATTGTCTTCAGTTAACATCAAGATTGCAAGAGGGTGACAAAGTCATCGGTTTATTAAGGAATGACTTATCACAGATACTTAGTGATAGTGACCAACAAGTCTACTAATAAGAGCCTCAAGAATTTGAAGCTCTCAATATCCAAACTCTATGGTACTCTTTTGGGTCTTTCTAAGAGATGAAAATTCCTCATATGCTTTTCCAGTTTGGCTTCACTCTCTAGATTCTGGAAAAAGCCTCGAATTTGTGTATATCCATGCTGCTTCTTATGTGCAAGTCTTGCTATCGGACTTCGATATGGTTTGAAGAGCTAAAGAAGAATTCAACTTATTCAAGCATACTTTGATCGTGTTTTAGGATATAAGAAACGGTGCAACATCTGGGTGGTTTTCAATCTTTGAGTGTTAATAAAGATTGATGGAGAGATGGAGAAGAAATGAGTGAAGGGGACAAAATTTAAAAATGAGGCCTTTGTCCTCTTCATCAGTGACAGTTTTAAAAATGAGATTGAAAAGATTGCTGAGAAGTGGGAGAATTTGACTTCTCAACAGAGAACCCAAAGGCAAATCTTTGGTTTCCTTTTTGTATACTTAAGAGAACCATTCTACCATTGTCTCCTGTTTTATGCACTTATGCTGCCATGTTGTGCACTTCACAACTTTCCCAACTTTCTATATAAATATGAATATATTATGAAAAGAATGTGCACAAGTAAATCTTTGTTTAGCTATTAAAAGTTAAAACTTCTCATTTCCCATATATCTCCTAACCATGTTCCCCTCGAGTTATCACCCAACTCTATCTACAACCTTGATAAGTTTTAAGGTGGGGGTAGAGATACAAACCATGTTCCCGATAACACAAAAGAACATTATTTTTTCATAAAGCTATTTACAACAAGAGTTTACGTTATGTGTGACAGACTGACAGTGTACATGGAATGCGAGTTCAATTCCCCAATGCACTCATATAAACTAGCAATTCTATTTTCATCACATCTTAAATACTAGTAGTAAAAAAACATTTGTACCTTACCATAAAGTATAAACTCTATAATAAATTCAGTTTAAAGCCAAAATGCTAGATGGAATGGGAAAAGGGATAAGCATAAACCTAAAACAATTGCATTGTGCCGGCAGTGCAAACACATAATTTATTCAGTCTATTACAGTTAAATGAATGAAAAAAATAACCCAGAAGATTGAGCAATGGAAAACTCTCTATTCTCTAAACTATTTTCTCCATCATGATAAGAAAGTCGGATTGGCTAATAATGACATTGTATAGTTCAACTATGGCATAAATAAATAAATAAATAAATAAATAAATAAATAAATAAATAAATAAATAAATAAATAAATAAATAAATAAATAAATAAATAAATAAATAAATAAATAAATAAATAAATAAATAAATAAATAAATAAATAAATAAATAAATAAATAAATAAATAAATAAATAAATAAATAAATAAATAAATAAATAAATAAATAAATAAATAAATAAATAAATAAATAAATAAATAAATAAATAAATAAATAAATAAATAAATAAATAAATAAATAAATAAATAAATAAATAAATAAATAAATAAATAAATAAATAAATAAATGGAGATAATTAATTGCCATGGCCTCATTTTGCACTCTTGTACATGTTGTCAATGATATTCTGCACAAAAACAACTAGATCAGTCCAATAGTATTTTCATTAACCACGTGCATACGAGTAGTGATCATTATGTGTCAAATTAAGGTTTAGGAAAAATAAGATTACAAAAATACATTGGACCAAAAGCTCAAACCAAATCCATGAATACTTTAAATCGTATGGATTCAATCAATATCCCTCCTATAATATTTTTTTCATACAATGAAGAATCTTGTTTACAATTATATGGATTGATGTACATAAGCATTGTATCAGATTTTATATATGATCTGATGATCATGGCAATAAGCATGTGTACTCGATGAATTAAACGGAAGACAGGTTTGATAACATGTTGACTGGGAAGCGCTCAAGAGATGGGAATGGGAATGCTTGGTAAGTTAAGACTTCACAAAATTGCAATAAAGGAATCCCATCAAGAGAAATTACCTGATAGTATTTCAGCATCTGTGGCCTTTTCTTCTTTAATATAGGTGTAAGAAGGTCACGTTTCATGTCAAATGGCACTGGATCAAGGTGAACAGCTTTTATAAACTCAAATCCTTTCAACTGCAATGGAAGAGTGAGCATTATGTAATACGTAATAAAAATAAGTTTCCAAATTTTGATATTAGTAGTCTACCAAAAGAACATATATTGAAGAATCAATTACTGAAACCTTCTTTTCTTTTGCAACCCTAGTCAGCTCCCCAAATATGTATTCCTTTGTTTTTGGACTTTCACATATGGATTCAAAGTTTCCAGCTAAGCCATTCTGTCCAGCCCATTTTTCAACCGCTGTCTTATTTGGATTGACAACAGCTACGAGGAAATGCTCAAAGCTATTCCCGTATATCCATATCTGGTATATAAAAGAAGTTGATGCTGAGTTTGATAAACAAGAATTCGGTTTCTATCACATTTAAAAGAACATATTAAGTTCTCAGTGGTACTTCAAGCAAAAGATATTAAACAATATCGTCCAGAAAACCTTGAACTGAAACATATGCAGCTTACCATGTCAATAACTGAAATTTCACCATAAATATTCTCCAAATTCTCTACCGCAACATATTCTCCTTGCGAGAGCTTGAAAATATTCTTTTTGCGGTCAATAACTTTCAAGCTTCCGTTTGGTTGCCACTCACCAATATCCCCTGAGAGAAATGTTTACCACACACTTATACACTACTCCCTCCATCCACAAATCCCGGTTTGACCAATACACATTTATGCAAGACAATTTTTTATTTTGACATTCCGTTTTTTCACGTAAACATTTACTTTATGTGAAAGAGAGCAAAAAATAAGAGTAATATTGATTTCCTATTATTAATATCCCTTTTATAGAAATAGGAGCTTAATTTTATGACATCCAAATAAGAAAAATGAGAACTTCATTGGGGAGGGTGTATACTTAGACCAAGTAACCCACTGGTGTGTGATACTCTCAGCACTATCCCTCCGCCCAAAGCGGACTGAACAACTAGGGTGGAAAATAGGCATAGGCCCATAACGACCCAAAAGGGCATTTTCCAAAAACATGGACTTGTTTAACATCCTGCAAACCACGACTAACTCACCCTGAAAGAGTCATCAAAAAGTGAGGCTTAACCCACATATATGTGATATACTCAAATACGCCTATACTCAAACGTAAAACACAACCGGTGTGGTATACTCAACATAAGCAAAGAGGAAGGGCCAAACCTGTGTGGAACCACCCATCAATCATGACTTCTTGTGTAAGGTCTTCACGCTTGTAATAACCTGAGAATAGAGTATCTCCCCTCACACATATTTCACCACGTGGTATGCTTGACAGCGCATCATACCCCATTTCTGGAACAGATTCTAGACACACGTCCACATTAGGCACTGGAGGACCAACTGTACCCAACATATCAAGCTGGTTTGGTAGTGAGACAAATGTGCCGGCACAAGTTTTGGTTAAACCTATACAATAAGACAACAAAACATTCATTTACTACATATAACACATAGAAATAGGGGTTTAGAAAATAGAAATTCTATAGGCATATATGGACGGACAATAGTACCATATCCTTGAAGAACGTGAGCACATGCCACAACTCTCAGAAAAGTTTCAACATGAGATGCAAGAGGTGCCGCTCCGGATAATATAATACGTACCCGGCCACCAAGTCCTTCTTTAACCTAACCAAGCAGAACCAGGTGACTGAGAGAGTTCAAACCAGACATGTTTTTTATAAAATCAATACCCACCTTACTGAAAACAATTTTGTCAAATACAGGAGATGCCTCCTGATGTTTGTTCCCCTTTCTCATATTGTGAAATTTACTGCACCACATCAATTGTGTAGGAAGCATACAAATCTCAACCAACAATGCCACAAGTATTTTACATGATTTAACATCAATACTAGCAGGATTTCTATTACATAAATCATTATTCTAATGAAATAGTAGGTTCCTAGAAAATAATGTACTAGTATATATTTAGTATATACTATATAGATTAAAGTAAGGTTTGAAGTCCATCATTAGAAGATAACGTCAATTTATTTCCTAAACTTTCTAAAGTCTAAATATCTAATGTTTTAGGATACTAAGATAATTCAAAAATATTGTTACCAAACAATAAATCGCTAACAGGATTTACATTTTTAGAACACTTATTGTTACTTTTGAAGAATGAAAGCAAAAAAGATATGAAGAATAAAATCGTCCAAAAATTGAATTTAAAGAAATAACTTCATTTTTCACAAATCTTTCTTTTTCTGTTTTTCTTTTGAATTGAAAAGGAATCATTTTACACTAGAATTTTAATTTCATAAGAATGTATTACATCATGGGAAAGTTGAATTCTTACATACAAAAGTTCAAAAGAGAGTTAAGTCGGTGGTTATAACTTTAAAGAATATACTACAATAAAAAATATGATAAGTAAATCTATGACGAACTAAAAAAACTAAAATCACCGCTTTAAGGATAACTTAGGAACTAGAAGTGGTGACACTAAAAATTGATTACCTAAATCTGCTATTTTCTCATATACATGAATAACATTATCTCATGACATAATTGATAACTTTCATCTGGCAATAAATATTCAAAAGAGTTAGAAAAAGGTATCTACAAAGTAAGTCTACAACCTCAGGAACACTGGTCTTCCACTCTTCCCGGGCATGACAGCTCTCTATTTTATCCCATTGAAAATAGAAATATAAAAAATAAATAAATAAATAAATAAAACTCACAAGGCGTAAGCGAAATTGAACATAGTGTTTTTCACGAAACCTTCCGCTGATATTTTTTGTTGCAGACCTGAGAGTATGTATAGATACTATAAATGTAAGTCAAACAAAACATTGTTCTAGAAAAGGTTGAAAAGAGAGCCAAGACACTGAAACATACAATCCAGCTCTTCCATAAGAAATTGATATTTAAGAAAGATTTAAAAAATTGATGTTTTTTTTTATAATAAAATAAATGCAAGAACAATTATTTGAAGTAATGACTTTAGACTAAAGTGATAACTTATGTTACATAGTCTGTCTTGCGGTCTTGCTTAGACCATGTTAAGGACTAATTAAGGGTCACATAGTCCAGTGATGCTATCATTAATAAAATCACATCTAAGCATGCAAATCATTTTACCAGTTTGTAAGCGTAAGAGAAATCAGCGGACCTGAGTAGATTCTTTCCAGCACCCGAGGAACAGCACAGAATATAGTGGGTTTCAGCTCTGCAATGTCTTCGACTAGTAACTTGACATCCTACGTATTAACAGAAAAAATACCCATGGCGAATATACTCTTATTTGACTGAAAAAGTGTAATAACAACTTACCCCACGCCAAAATCCTATTGAAGCACCATGATTGATGAAACACTCTTCAATCACCCGATCAAAGATGTGGGCCAGTGGAAGAAAAGAAAGATAAACATCATTCATTGTCAACTGCACATTAATGTCAAAATCCAATCATTGGTAAGGAGAGAGACCAAAAGAAAGGCCATGCAGCCATCCGGGTCTTCCTATAATTAAAATAGTTAAATTGTTTCACATGAAACTGAAACATAATTGTTTCAATGTGTTTCGCAATATGAAACTGAAATAATTAAAATAGATATCTAACTACCGATTCATCTGCACCCTCTAGCAGACGCTTCACTCCAGCTATAAGTGTAACAATGCTATTATTGGATATCAAGACTCCCTTTGGATCTCCAGTTGTTCCACTAGTATACATTATCGTACATATATCTGTTTTCTTTTTTAAAGGAAGATCGAAGTGTTTATCATTGCCCTGCGCATAGGGAGAGGTTTATGTTTAAGACCACAAAAAATGAATAATTAACATAGTACTATAATGGCTACCAACAGAAATGAAAATAAATCCCTGTTACTAAAACAAAGATGGAATCCAGATAAATAGTCAAGAGAATGTATAATATTAAATGAAAACATATAAGATAATTTGAAAGACGTACCAGTAACAAAAACTCCTCCGAAGAGTATGTCACCACACCAAACTTTCCATACTCTTCCTTCTGTTCAGGACTCACTTTCCCGAAACTCACAATAGCTGATAACAAACAAAATATTATTGCTTTATCTTGCATACCCTTCAAGAAGAAACTTTATAATGAACGTATGTGTGACTTACTTTTCAAATGCTTAGTGGCATTAGGAAAAGTTTTCAACAGTTGAAATGGAAACAATAATTAAATATTAGTCGGAAGCTTCTGACTGAAATGAAACCATGCAAACTTTATAAAAAGCAGCCCCGCAAGATTCACGTAAAAATCAATTGTAACTTCTTAAGCAGCCACTATTAGTGATCATATAAAAACAAAAGGAAGCATCAACAAGAAATACTGTAAACCAACACTCCAACACCACAGTGAAGGGAATTGTTTAGGACATCCCAATCAATACTCTACAGATTGCACCAATATACACATGGTGCAGTGATGGTTGTATTTCTAATTTTGTGGTAATATTTACCCACATTTTTCGGAAATGGAGAACCGTGTGCGATCTGCGAACCGTGTGGCTCATGCGTTAGCAAGAGCACATGTGTCTATCCCATATTAGTCATGTTGTTATAATGTTATCCCTGATACTATTGTAAGCCTTCTGGCACATGATTTGGTGAATTAATACGACAGTCAGTTGGAGTTAAAAAAAAAAACAAATGTTATGTTTTGAAAAAACTAAACATATATCTACGCAAGTAATAGTTATTTTAAACTTTTTTGTTGAATTAATAAATTTAAGTAAGAAAAATGATATGCTGATTAATTAGGCTTGACATATTCTGAATCTATATTTCTTGAACTAATAACCCACCTCTCAATCTGTTAGAGATATTTTCATTGTAATTGTGATCAATGTTACTTTGCTAGTTTATAGTTAGCTAGAATAATGAATAGGCCTTTTAAGGCAATTTTGTAATAAAGGTTTTATACCTTTTTAGGTATGGGCCTCCTAGGAAAAGGAGCCCAAATGATTGTAAAACCTACCTTTCCCGTCAGGCTATATATATGCCTTAAGGGAAAGGCTAGGTTAAGCTTTTCAACATTCCCTGTGCCGCAGTGCCTATATCGGTGATAGAAGTTTTACGCTAAATTGTTCATCATTCTGTAAACTTCTTCATCATTCAATGGAAAGCTTCATTCCCAGATCTATCTTCCATACATACATTTTATAGACTAGAAAACAGGGACCTAACACAATCTAATGAAATGGAGGTAAGGGTCAGATTGGTACTCGAAATTGCATAAAAGGGTCAAATAGTCCTTACTGTCCGTTCGTCACCATTTGAGGCGGTTCCCGGTGGAAATTTTTTATGAAACGTTTTAAGCAGCTTATTCATTAAGTCTAGTTTACTTATATCAAATTTCAGCAAAAATTTCAATCGGGGAGACATTCAAATGAATTCTTGAAGATAACTGTGTTTTTAACTGCGCGGTTATCTTCAAGAATTCATTTGAATGCCTTACCGGTTGAATTTTTAGCTGAAATTTGATATTAGTAAACTAGACTTAATGAATAAGATGCTAAAAAAAAATCGTCAACAAATTTCACCGGGAACCGCCCCAAATGGCGACGGCCAGACAGAGCCTCCTATATAAGGACTTATTTGACCCTTTTATGCAACTTTGAGTACCAATCTGACCCTTACCTCTAATGAAATGGAAAACACTCCTTAAATACAAACTCTGAATTACTTCTATTTCAATGTTCAAACAACTAATAACACACCAAAAAACACCTAATATTAAAATGATTCTAACTAGCCTTATAGTACGAACAGTTCGTTTTTCTTCTTTGAGCATGATGTGGAATTGGTGTGTCCTCTTGGTGAAAGGGCTGAGTCGATGAGTGGATGTGTCATTTGTGGATGCATTAGTTAAAATGCGTAACAGAGCATACGTATAAAGATGGCTAACCTTAATTGATGGAGTAGAATTAGATAGCTAAATGTGAGAGAAGGCGGAAGATTTTTCCTTGCTCTTCGGCGGAAGCTGCTGTGGGTAGGCGGAATATATTTTTCTCTCTAAATCGGAAGATTTTTCGAAAGTTGGAGGCAGATACTCGTGGGTAGTATAGGAATGATGCGAAAAGCCAATCGTAAAACGCTACAATTCTTGGCATTTAAGAATTGGCTGTTTGAGACAAACAGCCAATTGAAAAAGTTGTTTTACCAAACACATACACATAATAGCTTATGGATACAGTAAAAAAGCCAAATCATGATCCAATAGCCAAAAATTGGCCGATCAGCTCTCAACCAAACACCCCCTAAAGCTTTTCTCTTGTTGATTTATTCCACTGTAATCTTGACTTCGTCGCATTAATACTATACTCTCAAGAACTTACCGTAAACACAGGGCCGGTCCTGGGGGGTGTAACAGGGGCGACCACCCTAGGTCCGAAAAAATAGGAGGGGAAAATAGGCCCAAAATTTCGTCTTTATATATAGTGTGAGTAAGCTTCTTTTTTGTATTTAAGCTCAAGTAATTAGGCCTAAGGTTTAATTTTGTTGAAAATTTAAAATTTTTAAAACAAATGTTAAAAGGCACGCGACCGGCCTCTTTGAGTAGTTAAGTCTCTTCACATCTCTATGGTTTATAATTCTTTTAATTACAAAATTACCAAAATATTTATTGTCTCTAACTCTTTATATAGCACATGTGTCTCCCAAACTCCCAATTCATAAATCACCTCATCCCACTAACCTAATTAATTCGTTGGACGGTGGTTTCCATGTTCCAATTAAACTCAATTATCTAAGAAACTAAAGGGTTAAGGTTTAATAAGGTTTTGACCGTCTACACAAGAGTAGACATTAGAGAGCGCTGCAAGCATGTAAGTAGCCATTTGCCAAAGCTGTCACGCCCCGGACCTACCGGACACGTCAACAACCCGCCGTACAGTACGAATAGTCAACCGCAGTCCAACTCATCCATACTATACTAGGCGTCTTGAATATCATTCACAATAGTACATCCATAAACAAGCATAATGTAAAATAATCATTTAAATCAGCGGAAACGTTTAATACAAGTGTTTATGCCACACTTCGGCAACATGGGCGTACAAGCCCCAAATAATTAATCAAAACAATATCCATGAGCATTAATTTAATGTTTTAAAAATAGAGGCGGAGGAAGCACGAACCACGTCTTCCCTCCGGAGTCTCCCCGAAGCAACGGGCACCGGTAGCAAGCTTTACTCCCTACCTGAAACTGTGAGGTGGCCTCCCCCGTGAAGGGGAGGTCAGTACTTGGAAGCATTTGACAAGTACAATGACAACTATACTAAGTATAATCAATGTTTCAATTTCTAAGACCCTCAAATAGAGTGATATCATAATATAATGATAGTTCTTCTTTAACTCTTATTATCATCATAATAAGTTAATTAATTTAATTGTCGGCACGCGGCCCCTTTTCACATTTCGTTTCAATCATCGTTTACACGACACCGCCCGTAGGTCTTATCATCCTTACGAGACTTGTCACCGCTCTCCGAGGCCTCACCGGGCTCTCGGGCCGGAGTCCAACATCCCGCCCCTGAACTCATACCCATCGTCCCGTAGGAAGGTAAGGTCCATTCGGGGTCCTATCTTATGTGTTACCGCTGTCGGGAGCCTCGTAAGGTCTCCGCACTAGTAGAAAACTGTCTTATAGTGACACTTCATTAGTGACACTTTCTGATAAAGTGTCACTATTAGACGACATATAGTAGTAACAATGCATAAGTGTCATACGTATATGACACAAAAACATCAACAAATAATAGTGACACTAAATAAAAAAAAAAGTATTGAATTTTAACCTTAACAAATATTCACTTTTCTTTTCCCTCCCAAAAATAAACTTCCCGCCATCTATTTTTAGTACTCCACACTAACACTTTCTTTCCTTGGAAAAAATTTCTCATCCCCTTCTTTCTCAAATTAAATAATTAAGTGATGACGGGTCAAAACAAACCCACCATACCCTTCCTTCTCTCTGTCGATCGATTAACTCCCCTTTCCTTAGCATAGAACGTAACCCTAGATACACTGATGTCGATCGATTCAATTAGCTTCTCTGCTGAATACCATCGCCACTGCTGAAGGCTACGAAGAACACCAATGATGGCTCTCCATCGTCAGGTAGCTTGGGAAGAACTTCATCGGTACGGTCAATCTCCATCTTCTGCGAAGAACACTACCAACGGCTCTCGATCGTCAGGTAGCTCTTCTCCATATGGTTTTTGCTTTTGGTGTAGGGGGGTGTGATAGGCCTGGGGGTGAGTTAGTTTCAGTATGACCTGTGTTTAGGTCGGCGAGGTTGATAAGGTTTGATGTTGGGGGATTTGGGAAGGTTAAGGGGGTGACAGTTTCTGTGTTTTCTGGGTTCGAGGTATTAAGGCCCTTAATACCTTAATACCCCAAACTCCCGAGTGTGGTCACGATTCCGACCGCTCGAGCCCGTCCAGCAGCTAAGGTGAAGCATAGCAAGTCACCGCCGACCACTAGACTGTGGCTTCATATCTGATAGCAGGTTCGTGAATTCTTATTAGCTATGAAGTATGTACTGTGATTGATTATTTTTCTGCTTACGTTTTAACCCTTTTTTCAAACTTAATCTGAAATTTACATTGTTTTCTGAATTTTTATTGTTGTCTCTGTTTATGAGGATTTTTATGGTTGTTTGTGGGCGAGCAGGTGTACATACTAAGTGCATACACTTCGTGGGTGCTGCCCTATATTGGAATCGGTTTTAAGGGAAAAGTGTGTACTTCATCTTAAAGTTTACTTTTAATTACGAAATAGTTGATATCCATGAGCTTCCACTCTCCAACAGTACAACTTGCCACACTTTCATGTGTGACAAAGACATAGGATTGAGAAAGAGATCAAAATGGGTAATAACTAATAAGATACCAAGGTTTTAGCCTTTATGAGGAGAATTTCTTTGTCTCACTTTACTTTTATAACAACTTCAACTGAGCTATTGTGTTTGGGAATTTTTTTTCTCTGCTTTAATAATATATTCTAAAAAAG